CTTTGACATGGAGACTTATCTTCCTTTGTTGTTTATTATTTCTAATTTCTTCTCTTATTTTATCTATTTTCCCTTGGGTTAGGACTTTAAATACTTTCTATATGCTGATGACCCCATCTCGACTGATTGTCTCACAGGCATCTCAAATTCAACATATTCAGAGGTGGACTCTTATTTTCTTCCCCCTTCAATCATTTCCTTTCTCTGCCTTATTTCTGTTAATGCCATCATAGTTTACCCAGATATTCAGCCAGGACTATGGGAGTTATGTTTTGTCCCCCTCTCCCTCACCATTCTACCTTCATCTTCTTTGCATGCAGTCTTTCGTATATTCTTCCTATTCTTAAAATATACCTTAAATCCACTGATTTCTCCATGTCCACTGCCACCAACCTGGATTGAGGTACCTACCATCAACTTATGCCTGGACCTTGGCAGTATCTGTAATAGTCCTCTGTCTTTCTGTCTCTCTGTAGTTCGTTCTTTTAATATAATTGCAAATGCAGTGGAAAGCCCTATGAGTTTTAAATAGAAGGATGACATGATATGATTTGTGATTTAAAATGATCACTCTGAAAGATGTGCAAAGGATCGCTCCTTATTGTGACCAACAGAGTCTGGCATGATCTGGCCTTTGTCAACCTCTCCCATTTCATTTCATGTCTCTTTCTTACCATGCTTCAATTATATTATATTTGGTGGTCTACTTTCAGGTTCTTTTTCTTTCTGTATGTCAACCTCTTTCCTGCCTTAGAGCTTTCACATGTTACTGTCTTTGTTTTATAAAGTTCTCCTCCATTTCCTCTTGCCATGGTAGGTTCCTATAATTGTATGTTTAGTAATCTTCTCCATTATACTTAAGTCCAAAGGGAGCAGGACTGTATCTTTTTCATTTAGGTATGTATACCCAGTACCTCGTGTAATGACTTACACATAGCAGCCCTCAGTATTTGTTGAATAAATAAATAAGCAGTATTTACCTTTTTCATTCATTTGATAAAAAAATTAGTATTCAGGCTCTGTGTTAGGTGCTTTGAGAACATACAAAGGGTTTATAATACATAGTTCTTACCCTGAATAGCTTCTAATTTAGGAGGAGGGATAGGAAAAGGAAAAGATACAAATAATGTTTAAAAATAAGGGAAGACACTGTAGTTGGAGTAAAGTTCTGCTACTAAACTGCTGTGTGACCTTAGATAAGTTGTTTACCTTCTCTGTTCCTTTATTTATCCATGTTTATATTAAGGGGTTTGACTAGACTCTCTTAAAGTTTTGGTTCTAAAATCTGGTGTCCAATTACGGCTATACTGTTTAAAGTATTTTTTCCCCAGGTTTCCATCCCTGGAAAATTGGATGCAGTAGGTATGGTAGGTATGGGGTGGGGTCCAAGAATTCCCTAGTTGATTATGATACACGATTTAGGAAGTACTGACCTAGATTCTTCTAGCTTTGACATCTTAAAATTCTAATTGTAGTACAAGGAAAACTGTGAAAGTACAGCAGAAGTCAGGTAAATTAAGTCAGGTAAAAGTATTCATTCAGAGGTTAAGGAAAATATTTTCTTGCTTGGGCTGGAGGGATTAATGGAAAAGGTGATGTTCAAACGGACTTAGAAGAATGAGTGGAGACATAAGCAGGTGCATGGTTGCATGGTTGGCCTTTAGTCCAACTTAGCTGGAGGCCAGAATACATGTAAGAAAAAAAAATTAACTATTTTGGTAAAATGGACCATAGTTCTAGTCTTGTTTTTCCTGTTTTACCTGTCACACTTGGTTGTCCTTTTGGAGATGAAAGGTTCTATTATTGCAGCTTGATCCTCATTTGGTAGAAGTAGAACTGTGGTGACAGACGCCATGGGGCTGCTTTGGGAAATAATTGGGCATATTCTTCCTCAATCCTTCTGGGGCTGTGCCCTTTGAGATCCATTTTGACCACCCCATTGGTTTTCTGGTTAGACACAAAGAATATCAGAGCCCACTATGTTATCTAAAATAATAGTTTTGCTGTCAGAATGATTATTATTAAACCAAGGTTGGCTTTTTTGTTTAGATGAAACCATATAAAGGCAACATTCTGAGTAAATTATATAGCGTCCACTTGATGAAATAATGAGCCTACGTTTAGGGGATGAAAGTAATGATCTAATGCAATATTTAGAATGAATATACAGTATGTAGTTATTAACCTAAAAGTCACATCCTGCATTCTTTTAATTTGTGGAAAATTTGTCATTAATTGCCCAGTAACCTCTGATTTTTCATACATAATCATGCCATAGCTGTTGAATTTCTCCCCCTTCTCCTGCCTTAAAATACATCCTTGTAAATAGTCGATTACTTTCAGAATTGTAATGCCCTCTTTAAACATCAAGTTGCTAAGTTTAGCCCTGTTGCTTTCTTTTTAAAAATAGAATTCTTCCCCCCCATCTTTGCCTTTGAGTAGTTACTGACAAATCACACTTTTTTGATGGCAACTGGCTTAAAATTTTACTTAACCCTTCTGCCCAGTGGGAGCCTGCTAATTCAGAAATGCTTTTTGTTTTCATGAATTACCACTGTATGGAGGAAGTGGATATGGTATTACATTTAGAAACAGTTTGAGAGGTAAGTTCTGACCCTTCATTCAAACTCACTCTAAGTGAGGCAGGGTCAGAAACACAGAAGTCAAAAATTGAAGAGAAAGAATAAGATAGTGGGTAAGAAATGAGGCAGTCAGACTGATATCCAGCCTGGAATCCAGTCCTTGCCTCTCCCTGGCAACTATTTCAGGTCAATTTATGATTTCCAGGTTAACCTGTGATCAGCCCGCCTCATGCAGCTCTTGCTGATGGTGGTCTATCGACTATCCGATTGATTTTCAAATGAGAGAAGGAAAAATACCAAGCCTCTTAGGATTAATTGCTTGCAAAGAATAACTTTCATTAATTTGAAGTTTTGACCTTCAGTAGCACCAGAGCCCTTTGGAGAGTGACTGTCACCAGAATTTATTTGAAAGAAAAAAAAAAAATAAAAAGAACCACAAAATAGCTAGATCAAAGAAGCACCTCTCTCATAGGAAAGACCTCAGACTTGAGAAGATTTCCCGAAATTCAGGAAGAGTCGTCATGGGGAAATGACCACTATTGCATCCTTTGTGTCTTTTTATCTACCAGACTGTTTAGAGAAATAATAGAGTCAGAAATGTAAACCAAATTTTCCTTGGAAACAAATTTAAGATTATTTACTACTTTGCAAATTTTGCTCTGTGTTCATGCTGTCTGGGGTCATATTGCAGGACTGCCTTTGTTTCATCCAAACACTTGGGATATTATCTGCTTTTACATTAGGATTTCAAGTATTATTTGGCTGGATACAAGAGTTCTGATCTTTAAAACAAGTTAGAAAACTTTCGGTTTAGCTCCAATGCCCAAGACTTTATAGAGAATGTATCTGAAGGTCAAAGAAGTTAAATTTTATATCCACAGTGATGCAAGTACTTACAGGTTGACAGAAATTAGAAACCATCCAGGTTTCAACCATCCATGCCTGGACTTCCCATCCAGGGCATTTTGACTACAAAATGTTGATTTGATTTTGCATTTTGAAAGACACAGAAGTGATCTGTGAAATGGCGATTAGCACCAGGCAGCCCCAGGCAGCCCTGGAGTGCTCCATGGTTCAAATGCTCAAGACCAGATGGAAGTCCAGAAGTGGATGACTCAAAGTTTATTAGTTTTGCCACCTGGGCAGTGCAGCCAAACCAGCTGCCACAAGGCAGTTCCAATTTCCACAGAGCAGTAAATGAACATAAAAGTGAGTGTAAATCCCGAGAATAAAGTAAAGGAGAATGGCTGCTACAGCAAGGAGATTCATCCAGGCTGGGTCCTGTTGCTATCCCTTGTAGGAGGCACGGCTGCCAGGGAGAGGGCAATAAAATGTTGTGGTACCAAGCTCTGAAAAATCACCCCTTGAGTTCCAGGAGCCAATCTCAATTTGGGATGTGTTTGAATTGCTGGCTTGGTAGGCTCGCAATCACATCTGATGACCTAGGAAGGGAAAAGCAAGCCCCTGGTAGGTCAGGATTTTGTTGTGAGGCCAGAAGATTTTTTCCGCCCTAGAAACTATGGAAAGTCATTTGGTCACCTCCTTTCTGTAGTTCTGGGCCCTGGAGGCATAAGTCTTCATTGGAACATAAGATCCTTGTGGAAGATCATTAGGAATTAATCATTATCCTCATATTATCCTCAGATGGAATTGAACTATTGTAAGTTTTTCAAAATCTGTCCATAAAATGCTGCAAGAGTCAGAAGTTGACCCTAAGGTTTTGGATGACCCCTCTAATAGATTAATGGTTCTCAAAAACTGAATTGAAGTATAATAAAGAGGGTAAGGGGCTAGGACTAAGTTGGGAGAGGTATAGTAATTTTTGCATAAACCAGGGTGATCCACTAATAAGTAAAAGAAAGTCAAATAATCTCGATTCACTATGTCAGAATGCTTTGGGGAGCAGTAACAGAAAACCTGCCTAAACAAAATAGAGGTTTAGTATTATTACTTTTTTATGTCATGAGAAATTTAGAGGAATGTGGCTCATGGCTTTGGTTCACCTACTCAGTGATAGCACAGGCTCTTTTTGTGTCATCTTTATGAAAAGTAAAACAAGATAGGTGCAGAGGGAAAAGAAATGTACTAGTTGCTGATGTATTTGCTGTGGCTTTGATGCTAAAGGCTGGACCAAATTTCCATCCTGGTCAACCTCTGCCTTCAGATGATCTTTTCAAGAGCTAAATGTTTATGTATTTATATTTCTCAGTTGACCGTTACTTAGTTTCATGCAATAATGTAACACTGCTCTTCATTGGTATGATGAGAGTACAGATGCCTGCATATTTTCTAATCTGATGGACAGTTTTTTTCTTCTGTAATGACATGAAGTGAAATTTCATTTTATAACATTCTGTTTATAAGTGTAGACAAACTAGCTATTCAGTTCTCTTTTTTTCTTTCCTTTTTTCCTGGTAGGTGGCATGTTTGACCCAGGTAGCTGCTAATTATCTTATTGGCCACAAGGAGGCGAAACGTTGGGGCACAGCTCATGGCAGTATTGTTCCTTATCAGGTAAGATTACAACAATCTAGGGTTGGGCTACTATAGTCTGTAGTTTTGTATGATATGAGTTTGGAAAATGATTTCTTCTTTTTAGAAAAGCCCTCCAGGGTATTCTGTAATGTATCTATATCTGGTTATAACAGTTCTGTTGTTCTCTTTAAATTCTGTCTTGCATATTTCTTCATCAGAAGACAATTAGTAACAGGACACTTAAAAGGATCAAAGGAGCTTGCTGAAAGTGAGTGACTTTTGGGCTCACATGATGGTTTGCTTTTTTTTCACCCCAAAGAGGCACTGACTATACTATTTTATCAAGCATAATTTGTTAACCATGTCAGTTATAAAACAAATGTTACCTACCCCATCTGACAATAATATTCTCACAGAGTTGGAGTAAAATGAAAATTTGCATGTGATAGATCTTCCTTTTCGGAACAAAGCAGATGGTTCAGGAGCTGCTGTTTTTTATTAAGTGTCTAAACTTGTCCTTAGAAATTCTTGACTTTGGCTAGTGTGAATGAATATGTGAAGAAACTGTGATGTTTCCAAAATAAAAATTAAAGCAAAAACTACCTCTTCTGCTAAAGCCCTAACCTTTGCTTAGCCCAGTTGTAGCATATCTCATTGTATTTATTAATGTATTTGGCACATATTGTATTTTAAACTTATTTTGTAAGCTTAAAAGTGGAGGTGTCTTTTTCACCATTGTATCTCTTCTCTCAACTAATAGAAGCACATACTAGGTACCCCATAAATATCTGTTGAACGAAGGAGTGAATTTTACCATTATCATTTCAGTGCTAGTAACCATGGCAGAAAACATAAAAGTCAGAATTTTTCATTTGCTAGGAAATCAATCCATGAACACTGCTAATCATCCTTTTAGTTTTAAGAAATCATTTCCTTGGGCAAAACTGGTTTCTTTTCCATTTTTTAAAATTCAAATTTGAGTAAAACAGTGACCCAGTGTGAACTCAGGATTCTTCTCTCTCTCTGTTTCTATTTATGGTCCCTTTACACTTGAGGCATCGCTATGATTTTACTGTAGAAGTGCTTTTCTACACATTGGGTTAATCTTTTGGAATAATTACAATTATGGTGATACTTTCTTTAGTGCTTCCCCTCTTTTCTCCAACCAGTGGTTTTATGACCACCATTCGTGACATTTTGCGTCCCCACTTCCTAGCCCTTTGTGGCTGACCCTAAACTTCTAGCCAGCCCTTCCTCACTTCACAAAAGTCATTGTATTTTTGAACTGATTAGAGATCATCAGATTCTGCCTTTTTCTTTTTCAGATATGCAATCTGATACTTAGATTGGGTAGATGGACTCAGACTCTGGTCTCCTGCCTCCTTGTTGAATATTCTTTCAGATCCTGCTACCTTTGACAAGAAAGTGCTGTGACTTCAATTCCCTTCTTTAACTCCACCCCCACACCCTCTCCATCAAACTGGCTCCCAGCTCACGGGTCATGATTAATAATGGAAGTCCCTTTCGAAGGTATTTTAAGAGAGGACAATGTTGGAATCTATGTGAATTCATCTCAAATAATGGAAGTCTGAGCTTCAGTCTTTGATGTATACAGAGAAAGCACTTCTGAGTTGAAAGCCTTTATAGTGTAATTCCAAATCACATCACATAGGCAGGTGTTCATTATATTCAAGCATAAAGTTTATAGTTTATTTTTTGCTTATTTTAAAAATAGAATGTCATTTTAAAAAACTTTTCATGGACCTTAGCTATCCCTCCTGGGCATCTGCACCTAGAGTTTTGATTTCCTGGGTATGCTCTCAATTATTTCGTTGTGAGGTGAAAAGAAATTCAGAATCTTGGCCTTTATTTTGGAAGGTAAAAGATATGACAGACTCTGTGTGTGTGTGTGTGTGTGTTTGTCTATTCTTCAAAGTTAGAAATGTACTTTTCCTAGTTGAATTATGGCAGTCACATAAAATGGATACTGTGCTTATTTGATCTTAGCTGATTGCAGCTTTATTATCTATCAGAAATAAGAGATCTACTAGGGCCTTTCCTTAGGAGCCCAGAATTAGTTTGTTTCCTCTTGGTAAAGAACTGGTTCAGCACTGTGATTAAGGAATAAATGCAAATTTGGCTTGAATGAAACTAGCATACCAAGATGGGTCCTAGATATGCTTAGAGACCCTGGTCTGTTTTCAATTTTTAAAATAGATTCGGGGAATATTTTTATGGGTGAATGCCAGGATAATTATAATTCAGTTTTCTATAATAATTACAGCTTTGCATCTAATTTGAGTTGTCTGAGTTTTGAGCTGAATGTCTATAATGGAAGACCCTGATGGTCAGGAGTTAGTTAAGGTGCCAGCTCACTATCCTCAATTCTTGTTGAGCCCTGTCTGAAAGCTCATAGAGGTGGAGTGCAGGAATTGTAAATTTATGAAAAGTAGTGATCCTTTATTTGTTTTTATTTTAATAGATTTAGGGGGTACAAGTTGAATTATATTACATAAATGTGCAATTCTTAACTTCTAAGATTGATTATCCACTCATGCTCTTTTCCTCCTTATTCTTTGGCTGCCAACTTTTTAAGAATGAGTAAGTTAAAGCAGGCAGAACTGAGATAATCATTTTGTTACTTGTTGAATATATTGGTGATTGCTTTACTGAGAACTCAGATTTTTAAAAAGAAATTTTAGATTTCAATGCTTCTTTTGTTCCCATTCCCATTGGACTCTGCCCTAGGGATTAATAATACATGATGCTCATGTTAATATTGCTAAAGCATTGGTATGTTTCCCAATGCTTTAAACAATTGTGCTTATAAAGATAGGAGGTTTTACATTTGGAAGAGGAATGTGCAGAGAAAGCAGATAACTGGTCTTCAGAAAGAATTTATTTTATTATGTTATGTAGTTATCAGTGGGACCATTAGATACATGGCTAACATGGTAATCCCCTTAATTTCATGGTCTGTGTGTATCCAAAACTCTGTCCCAAATTTCTTCAACTTCCTAGGAGTTTACGTTTCTATGTCCTCCTCCACCTGTGACCCACCCTAATCTTTGCCTCTCTCAAATATCATAGATGATCCATTCACAAATACACTCATGAGGACAGGAGACTATACTGAATATTTTGAAGAAAAATGGAGGAGTTTTTTTTATAGGTACAATTTTTTACAGATGAAGAATAGGAGGCCTCAACTTCATTTCCTCTGTCACTTGGATTATCCATCAGTGGATAAGCACGTGATCACATTTTTCACCTTAAGAAATCCACCAACCTTCCTTAGACCCCCTGGGCATGTCTTTTCCATCTACCATCCCATTTCTCCATGCTTTTATATTGAAAGATTAATCCAAAGATTTTTGAGTGGTGTTTGCTGGAGGGAAGCACTGTGCCATCTATCCTATGATGCCATTTGCGTCTCACAGACAAGGAGCTTTTACAACATTCTGAGACCCCAGGAGTTTGGGTGGCAGTGAATAGCTAGGGGAAGTTGACTTAGAATGGTTCATTAATGAAAATACTCCTTTTATGCTTTCTTGAGCCTTTCAAAGGGAATTTTTTCTTTAAATGGCCTGATAATTCACATGGTGATTTCTTCTAAACTTTTCTTCTGAAGTAGCTTCTAATTCAAGAGGTCCAAGAAAACAATTACTTAAATGATTAAATAAAATAACATCTTCCTTGTTTTAGTTTGGACTTATTCAACCAAGGAGTAGAGCAGGAAGCTGTGCTATGTTATTTCTGGTAGGGACATTATACCGTATATTTAATTTGGCACAACTAGAGACTTAGACAGGCAGTAAATTCCAAGTTTGAAGAGATGCAGCCCTTTGCTATCATTCCTTAGAAAATGTCAAAGTGCCGTTAAATCATGGCAGATTAGGTAACATTGGGGATCTTTTTCTTTTTTTAACCTATGTTAGGGACTTTTAAAAATGTCAAAAGTCTAAGCAATATATTTGTCTTTTCTTTTTCTTTCTTTCTTTCTTTCTTTCTTTCTTTCTTTCTTTCTTTCTTTCTTTCTTTCTTTCTCTTTCTTTCTTTCCTTCCTTTCTTTCTTTCTTTTCTCTTTCTTCTTTTCTTTCTTTCTTTCTCCATAGTCACAGTAAGGCACTCTCT